CAATCAAACCTTAATTATCAAACGGGTATACCGTTCTTAGTTTTAAGCACTTGATAAAAAGCAAACAATTAGTTTAGTAGTTAGACCTTAAAAGGTTAGCATTTCATAGGAATCACATCAGATGAGAGGAACTTAACTAGCTTTCTGGATATATTGGCTGTTACAAATTCTTAGAGAATATAAGCAAGATACACGAATGGCATTAGATTATTGGACATGAAAAATACAGAGTGATATTTATACATTACCGGCATTTCAGATGATGGCCTGTAATACTTATTTTGTCCACTTGGGGGAGCTGGGGTTACATGACGATAGCTCTGATTAATACCTAAAACGATCTTCTTAGGAGCTGGGGAATTTAGTTATTTTTAACCTTAAATTCAAGCTGGAAAATGAATCGAGTATAGGATGACATTTCTTTATCATCATTTCTAAAGGAATTGTCAGAAAGTGTTGGGAACAAGCATTGGTTACACATAAAATTAAGGAATGTCATTAACCTTGCTGAAAATTAAAACACTGCAAAATTAACTAATTTAAATTCTTTTCAACAACAAATAGCAACAACAACAACATGGTAACATAACTACTAAAATGGAATGGGGAGACCTAGTTGAGTGACTGAAAAATGTAATTAAACAAGTAAATGCTTTGAGTTTTGAGGAGACAGTACTCTGTTTACACAAAGGAATTTAGGGCTGTCCCTGGGTGTCCTGGAGTTCCTCACACCTGGGCGTGAAGAGGAGAATATCCTTTGATGTGAGGTAATTAAACAAAGAGCAAGGTCAGTTGCCATGGTTACGTGTGCGGGGGCAGTTTAGGGTTTCCTGCCCTCTCTAACGAAGAATTGTGATAGGCTGTTCAGGAAAACGCTAATTTCTGTTCAGTGTTCCTTTGTCATTTTAACAGTCAGGCATCGCGTTATCGCGTCATCAGCTGAGGACAGGATCTTAACACTGAGGCTTTCTTGTGTCCCATTCACTTGCCGTGGGAGTGTAACATCAAAGCTCCTTGTCCCTTTTGTTTCATAACCAAAGTGGAATGTTCAAAACAACCTTCAGTGCCATTTTGTTTGGTCACACTAAATTTATCTCATTGACATATTTTGAATGTCAGGTAAAAAGGTTTAAAAAGTTTTACAATCAGACTGCCCAGAAACAGCACTTAGGGAAAGAAACCTTTCACCTCTTCCTTGGAGTCGCTTCGGCTGTCTGTTGAGTTAATATCTCACCCCTCCTTTTCTTTCTCCCAGGGAGAGAGAAAGAATTTGGAGTAGTCCAATTTTATTTGATATAAAATGCACAAATCCACACCGTTGGTTCACAACAATAGACATACTCGCAAATCTTAATGGTGCCTTATATATCAAGAGACAAAAAAACATAATGCTAGATAAATAGAGGACAAAACCTAATGCATATGATCTATGACCCAAAAAACAATAGGTCCAACAAAACAGCAATAATGTAATTGTGAAACAACAATGAAATTTATAAAACTTCTAGAACAAGAGGAAAAAAATCACCATAAATGTTAAAATGTTCACATTATTATATATGTGCAACAAATAAGTTGTAGCAGTGCATACATTTATGAATGGACACAATCAACAGGACACAATGTTTAATGGTCCTGATAATATGTGTGCATATTCATACGTATACAGGATTGTTAAGGGTTGGACAGAGGAACCCTCAGAAGAATCTGAAGTACCGAAACATTGTGTCAATATATGTAATTTGCAAGTTAGACAGTGTGCGGGAGTTTTTCTTTGCTACGTTTGACTCTCCTGTCCCCCTCCGCCTGGAAATCCACTTGCTGGTCCCCATTCCCTGGTCTGCTCTCACACCCCTTTTCAATAAACTTTAAATTCCTGGATTTAAACCTGCCCTGAGTCTGCTCTTGAGTCCGTTCACCTAATCTGCCATAACAGAATGATCTGGCCACAAGCATGGACTCAGTGGACTCTGACCCCGCTCCCTCCAATGTCCACATGGTGCTTTCCAGCCAAGGACAACTGCTAGGACAGCATGAACCGATGCTCCGGGCGCTCCTGGACAGCTATCAAGCCATGGTGAATCAAATTTCTCAATTAACTGCTCAAGTAGTCTCATTAACCACACAAATCTCTCCACCTGTTTCAGTAGCGGCTCCCTTTCAGCCTAACCCTCCAGCACCTCCACCCCCCCTGGAATCCTATGTACCTGATCCAGAACCGTTCTCTGGCGACCTAGATAAATGCTGGGTTTTCCTTCTCCAGTGCTCAACTGTGTTCACGCAGCGACCGCGGACCTTTTCATCTGATCAGTCAAAGGTATGTTACATCATGGGATTGTTAAGGTGGAGAACCCTGGCCTGGGCGGAAGCTACACATGCCAATAATCCAGTTCCTAATCACACTTATGAGTTTGTTAATCTGTTGAAGCAAGTGTTTCACCACTCAGACTACAGAGGGAATGCTGCTAGACGCTTGTGTACAGCTGTGTCAGGGAGCTGCTGAATTTTCTGTGGAGTTCCGCACGCTGGCAGCAGATTCTGGGTGGAACAATGAGGTGTTACGTGGGGTAGTTCAGAATGCCTTGAGTGAACCGCGAAAGGACGAGCTGGCTGCACGCGATGAGACCCCTGACTTTGACTCTCTGGTTTCTCTTGCTATTGGGTTAGACAACCGCCTGCGGGAGTGACGCAGGGAGAACAGCTCCCTTCCACTCAGCCCCCCCCCCCCCTTACTGGCATTCCTCCTGCCTTCAGTCCACCTTACCTCCTGTTGAGAGTTCTGCCTCAAACTCAGGTCCCTCAGTCACTGATCTGTCCACCATCCCAGAGGTTTATCATGACTTGGCTAGGGTTTTTAGTAAGGATTTAGCCCTCACCTTACCACCACACAGACCATACGACTGTGCCATAGACCTACTCTCTGGAGCCCCCCCTCCCAACCAGTAGATTATATAACCTGTCTCGTCCTGAAAGAGAATCCATGGAGAAATGCATTCATGATTCATTAGCAGCTGGCATCATCAGTCTCTCCCTCACCTGTTGGCGCAGGATTTTTCTTTGTGGGGAAGAAAGATGGCACCCTGCGTCCTTGTATAGATTACTGTGGGCTGAACAACATCACCGTCAAAAATAAGTACCCATTACCCCTTATCAACTCTGCCTTCGTTCCCCTGCACGGTGCCACCCGGTTCTTCACCTCACTTGTCGCCAGATCGTCAGCTTACCTCTGTGGTATTTGCACTGCGGCCTACAAATCTCAAGTCGTATATTCTATTTGTTTGTTGTGAGATCACTTACCTTGTCTCTCTGTGCTCAGGATCACTGCATGCCAGGAAATCTACTTGCTGGTCCCCATTCCCTGGTCTGCTCTGCTCTCATACACCTTTTCAATAAACTTTAAATTCCTGGATTTAAACCTGCCCTGAGTCTGCTCTTGAGTCTGTTCACCTAATCTGCCATGTTTTCATTCAGAATGATTAAACCTTTCCACAGACCACCTGAGGAACATACCAAAGTCGGTACTCAGTGACACAAGTGTTTTCAACCTAAACTGATTAAACAGTAAACAATGAAACCATGTCTGCCTTCAGTAGTACAATTAACCTTTTACATTCACTGATATCATTTGCATTTCAAGGGAGAGACACTTATTATAGATACCAGTAATTATAATTCACCTTGTGAGATCTAGATCAAGCTACGCTGCAGACATATCTGAAATGATTCCTTCATTGCCAGAGACATACTTGCATATCTCACATGGGTTAAAAGCCCATGTGTTTTTTTTTTACAGACCTGCCTTAGTTTGACTTCAGTGTCAAGTGGAAAGCACTTGTGTTTGAAGTTGGGCACAACATTTATCTGAATTAAATGCCACAATCTCCCTAATGCATTATCAATACACTCCAGTCAATGTGATTGTGTTTAAAATCAAGTGAGCGAGTGCAGGAATACATTTTATGGTAAGAAAAAGTGAGAAGAATTCATTAAGTGGAAAAACATCACAATGGCTGAAACTTTCTGCAAAAGAAATCAGGCTCCATAGCCACAGACATTCAAAAGGTGCCAACATGTCTAACAATCCCGATGTTTTTCATGTATACAACCACGGTCCTTATGATGATTGATCTTTAAGATTGGAGGTAAATATACAATGTGATGTAGTGCAAAACAGCCCTGCAACAATGTCATTTGTAATGCTTATATAGTGTAACCATGCACACAAAGCTGCAGCAGTTGAGGTTTTTATAATAGTTTGTGAAATGGCCTATAGAGCCATTCACTCTTCATACAACTGTATAACATGTGCATAGATTAGTAAGAAGTTAAAATTAATGATAACAAATGGGACACATTTCAGCCACCCCCATTTCCTCAGTATCAAAAAAGGCAACCTCACATATCTTTGTCACTTTTCCTTCCATTTAAACCCTGTCCTCCAGGCCAACAGTGAAACAGCACTCTATCTCTTACACACATAATCACTCCTGCAGTGCACACAGCTCTTCCACTGATAAATAAAGAGGAGATTATGATTCCAGTCCACTGCTTCGACAGTATGTTGATTTTGTGTTGTGCTAACTTGTAAATGCCAGATTGATGTTGATTTAAAGTGCGAACGGGCACACGTGCCATCCTGACCGTGGACCTGGTTGTAGTATCAGATAAGTACAATATTGTGTGTGTGTGAGTGAGAGAGAGCAGGAGAAGGAGAGAAAGAGGGGTGCAAGCTTTTGGTATATGTGCCATGAAGGCATGTTTCTCCGTCAGCTTGTGATAAGCTTAAGTATTTGTGCCTTGCTGCAATCAATGTTGTTATTTTTGTAACTATTTTTGTAACTTTTGTAATTTTTCACTCTAAACACACAAACTACCCCCCCCCCCCAAACAGAAAACGGCTAACATGAGCATGATGTAAGATTGAATAATGAAGTGAAACAAAATGCAGTCTGCTTATCAGGTTACCAAAACACACACACACACACACACACACATACAACCTGTAGTTTGGTGGTTCCAGCACTTAGTCCTATTAGGACTTGGCCCTCCAGCAGTTGTGCAACCTTTGGGTCCTCCAGTTTGAGAGAATCCTTGACCAGTTGTGTCACTTCCACCTGCCAGTCACTACCCAGCAGGAAGTTCTGCTGTCCCAGCCCGTCCTCCTCCCCGGTTCCTCTAACTTCACCGTTATCTGCCACAAAGTGTGTGAGGACACGTAGGGTAGTGCTCTGATACTGGGCCACACAGCTGTTCTCTACCCTCTCCTCAGCCCCATTTTCTTCATCCTTGTCATCAGTGACCCTCTCATACCTACAGGAATGGGAAAAGAGGGGCAGGTGAGCAATGGGAATAAGTATAGAGGCAGACAGCAAGGGTACTTCACCTTGTTTCTGATGTAAAAAGTACTGAAAGCTCTTTATGTCAAGAGTGGTCCTCAGGAGAAAAATATACTTTGAAGGTTATCACCAGTATAATTCTACTTTTTCCTATCACAATTCAGTGTAATTCATTTTTTGTCTTATCACCATTAATGCCCATAAAGTATAAAACCCCTGATGTATTTACTGCAGACAAAGCCTCTTCTGTTTGTTATGCTGCAGGATTTCCCAACCTCCTGAAAGTCGTAAGATCCTGGATTTTTCAAAAATCCATTAAAAACAGCGTGAAGAGACAAACTGCTGCCTTGCTTGCTTTCTCATTTTCTTTAAAAGGGCAACTGATATTTTGCTGTATGTCTGCCATTTATTTGGCCCACGGCGCACACTTTGCAGATATAAATGAATGTCTGCAAATGCAGTAGGGGAATTTTGTGACACATTTGTTTTATTCTTTTCCTCCTATTTAAGTCTGTTTTGTCATTTATTCACATTAACCCACATTAGATAGATATAGACATTGTAATGTAATTTTTAATAAGATGGAACATAATCCCAGGTTAAATAAGTAAATATCCGAAATATAAAGTTAGAATAGATGATATCCTTGGCTGTGCAGCATTTGATTTTATTCTGCTCTATTGTATTTTCTAAGCAGTTTGTCTTCCTTCATGATTAACTGGTATTTACTGTACCTTCCAAAAGTTGTAAGTTCCAATTCTTTCCAAAAATAGATTACACAGAAATTGCATGTAGACACAAACGGCTCCCTTGGCTACTATAATACATCATATTAAACAACAACATATTGTACTTTTTGGCCTCCAGGCTGAGCTGTGGGAGCTGCAGTGATGGGTCCAGAGAGTCGGCCATGTTGACGAAACATTGCTATGGCTATTAGGCTTACACATCACTCTTATCTATCAGCAATTCACCTTCCATCACTCTTTATCACTGGAAATAGGTCTATTTTGTTGTATTGTTCATTGTCATTGTCATCTCTCTGTCACACTGCGTGCCTGGCTCTCACTCTATCTCACATCAATTTCTAACTTGACTTCCCTGTAATCTATTTTTCAACTCTCTCCTCTCTCTCTCTCTCTCTCTCTCACTCTCACTTTTATTCTTTTACTCTGCCTTCATCTCTCTCTCTAACAGTCAGGAGGCCAGGGGGAGTGACAATGACAGTTTCCATTAGGTTTAATGAGGCATGGCCGGTCAGGCAGAAAAACGGGCTGACAGGTTAACATGCTGTGGCCCAATGGCTTGGCTTAGTTTCTAACCTCCCTTCACCATGCCCCCTCCCTTCCTTTATACCACATCAGTGAAAGGACGGCAATCTAAACCAAGGTGACATTTGTGGCTGGCAACAGAAACATGAGGTCAGGTCATGTTTGTAGTAGTGAGTGACAGGTCAGCCAAGGTGTCGGAGTCTAATGAGGTGGCTGACGCCCTTGTGTAAATGTAAATAAGCACACACAAAGTCGTAGCATACAGGCATTGAGAAACAACCCCCCTCCCCTTACAAATATGCACATAAACGTCACATAACATGCATTTTTCATCTAGTGATGCACTTGACAGATGTGACTGATGTGGTCAGGCATGGATAGCAGGGGGTATTTGTGTTAGAGTGCCACCCTGTGGGGTGAAGGCCAATGGGAATTGACACTGCAGTGACTTTGTGGCAGGGATGTACTTTTTTGTAGATTTTTTCATGCATGTAAATATTGTTATATTGGCTTTATATTTAATAATTATTAATATAATAATTATTAATATATTTAGCTATTATTAAATGTAAATTAGTCATTGTGCTTCAGTGTTCTATTTGAATTTGAATAGGTTTATATCTATTTTAATCAGCCATATTCATATCTGAGGAAAAATCATTAAATATTTTTACTACAGCCATCTTGTAAAACTCACGATGCGCCGCACAGATTGTTGAGCGCAGTGTCACTTTTCAGCCTGAGGAATTTTGTCCATCCTCTGCAATGCTCAAAATTATTAATAATTTGCTATTCAGCATAAGCACCTTTTTGGAGACCAGTCCGATGACTTATTAGACATTATACCACCTCTGCAGCTGCCCTTGCATTTTATGCCTCATATATCTGCACCAACACTACCAAGCTAATTTATTGTAGCCTCCATTTATTTTACCAAGTGAAGAATGTGATTCAGATTCTCATGCAGGGATTGTTAAACACCTCTCAGGTTAATGACCTAAATCAAGAAATTTAGAGTTGCCCTGGGGTTATTTTTAAAATAGCCAACTTGTTCTGTGATATATAGATACTCACCGGATAATGCCAGAAATCTATTTGGCCTGTGTACTGACCAATGGTTTAGCTTGTTCAAGAGTTTAGTGTTAATTTAGGTCGAGCTTGTTGTGCTGGAAATAGCTGCCTTAAAGCTTTTGATGTAATGCTGCAGTGTTTTTTTCAAAACGGGGGTTAGTTATACAATAATATATAGCAAAACATGCAACAGTATAGATGCAATACACAATCAGGCCCAACCTTCTGTTGACTGTACTAACAGGGACCCTCCAGCCCTTTATCTGGCTGAGCTCGGGGTCGGCCACATCGATGAGCAAGGGCAGGCGGGGCATCCATACACTCATCTCGAGCTGGGCGCTCAGAAAACTGTAGGTAAAGTTGAGCATCACCCTGGTCTTTCCTCTTATCTCCTTCCCATTGACGTACACATAGTCACAATGCTCTGACACCTGGAGAAAAAAGAGAAAATGAGAGACAGACTCAGAGATAAAAAAAAAAGAATCAATGTGAGACTGAAAACGTGTACAAAGGATGACAAAGTATTCACATCCTTTACAATAAGTTATTTAAAAGGACATTGTGAAATTGTCTCATTTGCCCTGTTTTGCGGAACATTATCTTTTGTTTTTTTTGGCCAGTAGAAGTTTTTCAGTCAACAGCCTTTTTTGAGATGCTGGAAGATGGAAACATTTGGCATTGCTTCAATGAAACCCCAAGTGTCAGGTCTTTCTTCTTTGTGTATATGAGTGTGTGTGTGTGTTTGAATGTGTGCAGATGCATCTTTAATATGCATGTGTGCAGGATAATGTGTGTGCAAGTAATGTGACTTTGGTCCAAGTTAACAGATGGAGCTGAGAAAAGAAACAAACCTGCTTCATCCAACCAGAGAACAAAACACTAAATTATGATTGGCTGGATAAAGCCAAACTCCAATCAGTTACCGAGGTTTCTCAGATGCATCTCCAGCATAGAGGAATGATATAGCAGGAACAGCTGAAGTGTCTGTCATTATCTACAAAGCATGGAAATCTCTTGAAACATTTTTTCCCCTTGAGGACAAAATCTATTTAGCAATCTGTCATCAAATTGCATTTGTAATCACTTGCATTTCAATTCATTTCAATCTCAAATACCATCATAAGCTTGATTGGGCACAACTGGTAATTTCCCCAGTACTGACAATTGCTTCTTTATAACAAACCAGTCACAAGAAGGCTGTCATCCGTCTCCACGTCTTTGCATATAACTTGGCAGCTTTACTCTCAAATGATGTCAGACCAGCGCCTATCTCTGAGAAACAAAACTGACAGCTCGGTATCTGTCAGTTCTCTCCTTTTGTTTCCTCTTTCTCTCCCACTCTTTTGCTCTCATCCTCAGTCTACTACAGTATTACTGTACCTTCTACATGTTCAGTCTTGTCCTGTAATGAGAACAGGTTGTGCTTCAGAAAGGGCGATTGTCACGCCAAAATCAAAGTGGGGGAAGGTTTAGGATTTGACCTGGACTTTTGTTCAAATGACCAGTTTCATAAATCTAATTGCCACCTGTGAAATAATGATAATGAGGTAACAATATCCACCCAAATGCATCTGTCATGTGTTTAAGTCTGTTACATCAATAGCAAAATTATGTAGCGCATCTACTTAAAGTGCAAGTCAAATGATGACTTTGCATGAATTCTGACAATGGTTTTCTTGGTTAATAGTTGCAAATATGAAGCTACGGCTGAGGTTACTCAATTGCTGGATTAATCTGAACAGAATATCAGATACCTTATCAGCAACAATTCTGAAAAATAATTTAAATGAGGAATTATTTATCAAAAGAAAAAGGCCAAACACTGACTGTTTTCTCAAAATGTGAGGATTTGCATCCTTTCTTTATTTTATATCACTGTAAATTAAATATCTCTGGGTTTATTATTAACTATTGGTCAGACAAAACAAGACATTTAAAGGCATCATCATGAGGTCTGAGAAATTTTTGTAGACATTTTTCCCCTTTTTCTGACATTTTTAGCCCAAGTGAATAATCGATTAAATGTAAAAATAATTGTCAGAATAATTAACTTAACTCAAATAATCGTCAGTTACAGTCTCACATGCAACTGGTCTTATAAAACTCACAACAGGTGTTGAAGAGGATAGAAATATAGTACATAGATAATACTTGATTGTTGAGGGAGCTGTCTGCCCTTGTTGGTGCTGAATCGTTAATGCAAATTGCCGATCATGGATTTTATACTCTTTGTAAAAGAGGTGTGTGCACATTGAAAAGTCACAGGAACACACATATACACGACATGCACTAATGTGCAGGGTTTCTAAAGGCAACCTCACAGAGAGAGAGCTGAAATAATCCACTTCAGTCCTCATTGAGTCTCTTAAGCCTCACCTCTATTTTTATTCCTTTTTTGTTGTGTTCATTTTGTCTCTCTCTCTCACCCTCCCACTCTATGTGCCTGTCTCTCTCACCTCAATGTTCTACCTTTCAGTTTCTAATTGTGTTCCACTTTGTTTCTACATGTATCCATCTTTAGCTTTCCTTATGAAAGCTATCGGCTTCGGTATCGAAGATTTAATTGAGATCTCTGGAAGGTGATGTATTCTGCGCCCCATGAACAATGTAGCACTTGACTGATCTCTGCAGCCTCTGTTATCACCACGAATGTGTCATGAAACCACGCACAAATCAATGTCACTTCTCCATGGAAACAATCCATTGTGTTGCTAATCATGCAGGCTTGGAATTCATCCAGCGCGACACACACAAACACAGATAAGACAACACAGAATCCAATTCAGAGTCTGGCATACACGGATGAGTTCATGACTAAAACTGACTGGATGTCCAGTTCCTGAGAGACTGTGGCAGTTGACACTAACATTGTGCTGTCCTGGGACATTTTTATCCATTTTCTTAAGGATGTTCTTTAATTCACTAAAAAATAAATTGTCTTACATAACTGAAATTCAGGGCACTGAGCATAAGTGATATTTTTTATCATTCTAAACTATAAAGACTTACTAAAACTATAAAGTAGACCCTTGTGTGCGGTTCAGTGGTTTATCGGGTACACCTTCAGGCTCTACATAATTGTGATAAAAAGAGACACATCTAGTACAACTCATGTGAAAACAGGAAATCAAAACACTTGCTTATTTTGATTCTGTTCGTTGAGCTTCATATTACTATTTGTCTTCGTTTATATTAAAATCAATCTGCCTTTTTGAAATGAGGACACGTGGGAGCATATATTGTTATACCTAGCTTTCAAGGCAGTTTTTAGATTTGATAAACATAATTACATTCCCATGCTGTCCATTTTTCACTTGTAATGTTATTAGAAAATATTCTAACAATATGTTTTGGTTCGGTCACAAAGCATGAATATGACTTGGAAGCCAATCAAAAGCGGCTAGAGTCCACTGGGTCCTGCTTATTTCTGGCCTCATTTGCTACTGTGCAGTACTGTATGCTTTATGATAATGGGCGACTGGCATTGGAATTGACTGGCATTGACATAGGCTGCTTTAACTAAGCTCACAGGAACAGATCAGCAGAAGAAGCAGGTGTGTTGGACCTTGCACCACTATTCTGCATCAGGAAGAGGATAAGTCAGCCCACTACAGCATTCTGTCAAGTTTGCTGTGACTTATATTAGGGATTGTTCTGCATTTGCGGACAGGAAGATGACATGATTGTGTTGGCATAACAGTGCTTTCCGAAGCCAGATCCATAGCACGATAGATTCAACCACAACTGCAGCCGTTGTTCAACCAGCACGCCCATGCAGGGCATTGGCCAAAGGCGGTGGCTGTATACTGTCAGAGCTCTGCGTTTTGAAAGGAGTAACGAGTTATAAAAGTGTAAATGTCACGTCATCTCTCCTTTCTGTAGTATCTGCAAATCGGTTCTCTCTTAACTGGGCTGGACCAAGACACTTAACTGTTCCTATGGATCAGGGGGGATGCAAAAATATTGCAAGGGAATGTGATGTCAATGCCTTTGTCAAGCAACTTTTTATGTCACAAGTTTATGTTCATGCTACTTGTTAGGCAATTAATTAGGACTAAAAAAACCCTATTATTTTCATTTCTTATTTTTTTCTGTATTTAACCAGGCCGTCTGAGATACATTATTTCTTTAAAAGAGAGACCTGGGCAAAATGGCATTAATTAATTAATTAATTACTTTAATAATTAATTGTTTGCTCTATTAATTGTTTACATAACCATCTCACCAGGGGACTATGATCCCATACAGGCGCTGAGTAACTGTATTGAGCAGGTGAACGATTGGATGTGCCAGAATTTTCTTGAAATTAAACAAGGATAAAACTGAAGTTATTGTTTTTGGAACCAGGGAGGAACGATTGAAAGTCAGTGCTCGACTTCAATCTGTAATGTTAAGAACCTCAAATCAAGCCATAAATCTAGGTGTAGTCATGGACTCAGACCTGAATTTGAGGAGCCATATTAACACAATTACAAAGTCAGCCTACTATCACCTGAAGAATATATCAAGGATTAAAGGACTTATGTCTCAGCAGGACCTGGAAAAGCTTATCCATGCATTTATCTTCAGTCGACTTGACTACTGTAACAGCATCCTTACAGGGCTCCCTAAGAAATCCATCAGACAGCTGCAGCTGATTCAGAACGCTGCTGCTCGAGTCCTCACTAAGACCAAAAAGGTGGATCACATCACTCCAGTTCTGAGGTCTTTACATTGGCTTCCTGTATGTCAAAGAATTGATTTCAAAATCCTGCTGTTAGTTTATAAAGCACTAAATGATTTAGGGCCAAAATACATTTCTGATCTTCTGCTTCATTACGAACCATCCAGACCTCTCAGGTCGTCTGGGACAGGTCTGCTTTCTGTCCCCAGAGTCAAAACAAAACAAGGAGAAGCTGCGTTCAGTTATCATGCTCCGTATATTTGGAACAAACTCCCAGATAACTGCAGGTCTGCTGAAACAGTCAGTTCTTTTAAATTAAGACTGAAGACTTTTCTTTTTACCACTGCTTTTAATTAAATAGTTAAGATTTTTCTTTTTACTGATAACTTACACTGCACTGTAACTTTTACTGTCCTGTTTTCTTTTTCTTTGTTTTTAGCTTTTTATTATTTTCCATTTAACTCTTTTAACCCTGATTGTAACACTGTAACTTTTATTATATTTTATGTTGCTTTTAAACTTTTACATATTTCCCTGTTGCTTTTATGTTTTATGTAATGCACTTTGAATTACCTTGTTGCAAAATTGTGCTATACAAATAAACTTGCCTTGCCTTGCTCTATCCAATGTGAAAAAATAGGACATTAGCGACAATCATGTTTTCCAAGGTGTGTTCTTTTAAAATGCCTGAACAGCAGTCCAAAACCAAACAATTATTTGATTTATTATAAATTGTGAATTGTTGGTATTTTTGCTTTAAAATGACTTTAATGATTACACAATCAAAATTGTTTTGTGTCAGTTGACGAATCGATTAATTGAAAAAACTTGAAAATGGTTCGTTGGTAATGAACAACATATACAATTTGTGGTGGTGGGGTTATGAAGAAAACCACCTAAAATGTCCTTACAATCTTGGGTAGCATTGATTGAGGTAGTTTTAGGGTATGGTTACCATAATCCATGCTGCGAGAAGGACTTAACCCTTTTAAAGTCTCAGTGAAATGGTGAGGGAAGATAGAGATGCCTCCCGATCAAAAAGTGATTTATTTTGAGTTTCCTTTGGAAATAGGCTGGAGAGACGAGGGCTACCACTTACTGTTCTCAAAACAGGCGGGTGGGCAGGGGAGTGTGCTACCGAGGTCAGCGTCACAATGTGTGGTACTACTTCAGTGGATAATTAAACCCTTTGAGAGATCTGCTGCCTCTTCTTTTCTCTCTGATATGCATGTACGATACACAGAAATGCACAAAATCAGCTCCTCAATATAACACAGACACACTTTTGTTTTTCTTTCACACATACTGACAATTAAGAACATACAGCTAATTTCTCTCACTTCCTTTTATTTTCTTGCTTCTTCTTTCGCATAACAAATGGGAGCATGGTGAAAGGCAGATATTAAGCTCAATCTATAACTACCACTTTTACTTACTGGATTATATTAGTGGCTTTACACTTTTTAGATTGTCTGTTACATTTCCCAAAGCATTCAATGAGGGTTTATATTAATTACCCAAGCTTTCAGAGAGTCAATGAGAATCAACTTACAGAGATTTGAAACTTGCTTAAGATAGAAAATTTATTATGGTTTGTTATAGCCATGCAAGTGGTACTGAAGGTGCCAACAAGTGCTGAGAAAACTCTTCTTGTTGGTACAGTCAGCTTTCAAACAAAGTTTTAATGTACTAAATCCATACTATGCTTTTCATAACATACTGGATATGCGATGCTATAACTAAATTATTTTAACATTATCTGGAGGCAAGTAAAATGAGCGGAGGGAGATAAAAGTTGCACCAACATTATATACCCTTCAAACTGCAGTAAAGAACAGTAGCAACGTTTGTCTAAGTTTTTCTTTTTGACCCCCTTTACACCTGGCATTAAAATGTGTTTTGGATGATCGCATGGTGGGTATAAATTCACCCAAAACACACTCTGGTGGTGGTCAGGGATGCATTGAGACCACACTGAACAAGTGTAGATGCAATTGCGTGTCAGTTTACATGCAACAACTACGTGGGCGGAAATACATAATCACAAAGCACAAGTGCGTGTCTCTTCTAGAAAACACAAAATGTCGTAGTGTTTCATAAGTTTGACGGCGCATACATAGGTTTGAAAACCCAGTCTTCATCCGTAAAAGTCCCCATCACTATCCTCTGTCACCAGTCTTGACTGTTACCACCTCATCACTCCTTACAATACAATCAGAATTTAGGTTATAATATCTTCACCTGTAAACTTAATCTGTGGCACATTTATTTATGTTAATTGGTTAGCCATATTAACTGTAATAAACATTTATGACATCATGGCCTTTTATGTATCAATACATTTTCTCTTATTCACTTGGTGCCCATAATGGAAACTTGCACATAAAAAATAATTGCCTGGAGAAATAAACTTCCAAAAGTTTGCTGTCTCTGTGAGTGTGCCTTCATGTGTTCAACGTAAGGTAATTATTCTTTAATGAATGTGGATCTGTTGAGTAAAGCTGCATAACTGGGCACAGGAGTGCATAGCCCTACACCTAAAAACTGTTTTAAAGCACAATTGCAGAGAAAAAGGATTTCTTCCAGCAGCATGTTCAATGAAAACATGCATTGAACAAAGCATTTCCCTGGAGGACTGATAATTGTTGTTGATTTCTTTCTGTCAATATCTGGCATACCATTTAACAAAAAAAACAACAACAACAACAAAAAAATACAAAGCCAGGTCCTGTTTTGCTGGAGGAAATGCAGCACCTGCTTCCTAGACTAATGTGCACCACCTACGCACCACCAGAGAGCTGGCCATGAAGAAGATGACAATTAGAACAATTCGGAAAATGGTCAAATAAAAACACATGCCCCACTAACCTTGATAACCTGTTCATCTGTTGACTTGCACTCCACTGACTCTGTCACATCAGAGACCGCTCCATCTGTTCCAACGGTGACTACCTTTACTGGCACTGCAACTGTTCGCCCTGTGAGGACAGCCGTGTTGAGGATCTCAGTGTCCTGCAAGAGAAGATAGGAAAACATAAATAAGTTATTTAATTATTAAGTTATTAGTGCTAACGACACCAGTGATAAACAACTAGAGCATGAGCAATTCTGAATTATTAGGTTACAATGTCAATCTTTCAGACTTTAAATAAATTATTATTTGTTTTACATAAACAACAACATAATTTTTTTTACAAGGTTCTTGGAAGTTCGGTCATTAAATAATGGTGACCAAGATGTACTAAGGGGGATATCCCCTCCACCACCTACATCCTACTTACTCTGTGAGCTAAGACATAATGTTCATTTATGTTTTTATGGGGAGATTACCCAGAATTAACCTGTAGGATACCTGTTGTTACTCATATTCACTGAGAGCTCATTTCCACAAAATTTAACTGTATAATCTTCCCTTGATGTAGTAAGTGTCTCTTAACTGACTAACCTATGAATTTATTTAAACTTGTATTTGTGTGTTCTGTTGTAAACAGGTAAAAAAAAAACACAAAGTGTTTTATATGAAAACAAAAAACATACTGACTGAAATAAAATAAAATACAAGTATTACACAGCAGGGATAAAACACAAAAAGTACACAATAATGGTGAATAGAACAAAACAACATAAACAGAGAACAGAGAAACAAAAAAAGAAACAACAATGTGTACACAAGCTTTTATAAGAAGTAGCTGTTTTGTAGTTTTGGACCTAAAACAGTAAAAGCTCAACCCCCCTTTTGTTTTCTTGCCAGACCAAAGAACATCAGTAGATCAGTGAAGTGTTGGTCCAGTATCTGAAGCTCAAGACCAGTATATGTAAAGCAATATATGTGAAAATGAGATGCTTTCCATGTGTTCTCTGTACTCACAAAATAGATTCAAATACCATTTATTTGAACGGCCACATCTTCTGCAATTGTTGAGTATGGTTGCTGCATTCTTCATCTGAGTCTCTTCACATGTCCCTTTGAAACATGTTCAAGTAACCCACTATAATGACGAGCAGCACTATTTACTGCCACAGGGATTATATAAAGCACACGATGTTGGTGCGACTGTCAGTTTGAGATATTTTTAAGTGCACAGTGTGCTATGACTTAGGGCTGCAAGTAACCGTTATTTTCATTTTGCCAATTGTTTTTGGAGTGAATCGATAAAGCAGAAAAATGTGAGCAATGCCATCATTGCTAGTTTTTCTGTTCAACATTGCAAATGAATGCAATGACATGTAACAGCGACTAGCAGAAAATCCTCTCACATGAGAAGCTAAATGAATGTTTAACATTTTTGCTTGATAAATCTTTTAAACAATCAACAGATTATCAAAATTGTTGCTGATGAATTGATTGAATAATCGATTAATTGACCAATTGTTTCAGCACTGCTGAGATTGAATTTAATGTTAACTTGTGAGTGCCCACTGGAGGAGTTATGGACATGTTTATATACTGCTTAAATACATACACACAAAATAGGGGCCTAAAGTAAAGTATTACACCTATAACATTGCCAGACTCACAATGGAAAACTTTCAACAATAACATAAAAGAATCAAGAACAATACAGCAGATCCACAGATACTGTCTTTTTAATTCCACGCATTCTTCTTCCATGTCAAAACCCAATGTCTACATTACCCACAATACAACTCGACCGCCAACAATTTGGTTGGAGATTCAGGTGAGTTTTGCCAGTTGCAGCTAATGCCTCGAGCCCCTAGCATCAAGCAAAGATGATGAACAGGCTACAGAGGTCTGGTAAGCTAACTCCACGCCCAGATATTTTTAATTTTCAGACTTGTAGTCTTCAGCCCTGACTGATGATGTACCAGTGACATCACTATATCAGATTTGGCCCAGCTCTCTCTGGAGCCACAAAAGGCTTCATATAACTTCTCACACACTATGTAGTAGTTCTCCCCAAGAACTGTAAACAGACTTTGATGTGTAAACTGGTGTAGTTGCCCTTTAATGTTTGCCATGACGTAGGATCACACTTTGCAGCTTTTCCCCAGAACTCATTTCAAGTTAAAAAAAACCCTTCGACAATAATACTTCAAGAGATCACAAGATACACTTGAGAATGGAAGGCCTTAGAGGAGAGCAGGAAGAAGAAAATGAGATCAATTAAGACAACGTCTGGTAATCCTTGTGTTGGTTGTACAGAGGATATGCTTTAACAGTGAGTGGATAGTGCTCATCACAGCTTAGTTTCAATAAAAGACTACTAAGAGGCCCAAACCTTTGAAAAGCAAGTCTCTAGACAGCTCTTTGTTCATCAAAACTTGTGCGTTTGTGTTTGCTTTGTTTCTTCACCCTCATGCTCTTTTTAAGAAAAAAATATATAATTTAAAGCTCAACTGTAAAGGAATTCAAAGCCCATTAATAAGAGTCCTCCTCTGCCTTGTTTCCTTCTCTCACACGCACCATATTTTTCAGTTTTCTGATAGCTCTCTCTGACACCTGTTTGAAATATATTTCATCCAGATTGTCAATAGTCTACACTTACATACTCTTTGAAAAATGGAAAAATAAGGAGCATTTTTTTCCCTTCTCTACTGAAGGAGGCAACTTTTAGTACAGGCTGGATTGCTTTTCATTTTCTTCACAGAAAGACCCCAAATCCAATATAATGCCAACAACAGTCACACATCACAACAGGCTGATGTTTAGATAAACTCATAATAAAATAAAGGCAAAAGTGTCTAAATTACATTTTTTTATTCACATTAAAAATACGCGTATATGTCTTACCTTTTCATGGTAGGCTAATGTTTTATAAAGGTGTTGGTTAAATAGTGAAACAGAGCACAGTAGAGTAAATAGAGTTCTTACTAAAAGCACAATGTCAGAAAGAGGACCCAAACAATCCTGAGCTGTGCAGACAATGGCTTTCAATGAGGCATTTATTCAGAGTTCTTTAAAATGAACAATGCCATCTAATCTCAGCTTTTCAGTGAGGTTTCCAGGGAAATACTATATGGCCTTGAACTTCTAATTTTTAAACTACATCTGTAAAATGTGTGCTGCTGAATTTTGGTTTTCTGGTGAAATTGAGCTATTTAGTGCTGTTCTGTACATAGTTGACGCAAAATGGTTATACATCTAATGCATTTCAGGTTTGATATATATGAGCGATGATATGATACCAACTCATAGGCGTATGCTAGAGTTCCAGTTTATACTGTATGTTGGGAGTTCAGAAAAATTAAGTAAAGCACAGACATTATACCATCTCTCCATTTATCATGTTGCATTTGTGAATGAATCACATTTACTAGATTCAAATAACATTTACACACATTTTATGCTATAAAGCCAGCACTCTCTATCTGAGTCCACGTCGATTGATCCTTGGTGAACAATTTGATAAGACAATACACAGTTTCTGATGATAAACAAGCATCAATAAAAAGTGTTCTGTATGTGGTCTGTGCTTCCACGTGTGATGGGGAGTGTCAATTTTCACTTTATGAGCCATTAACACTGGAACAACACTTTAAAAAGATAGGTCTTAATGAGCATGAACATGCATTATGGAGCCTGTGCAACAAGCACTGAATATTGAGTGAGCTGAGATATAATACACACGATTGCAAACACACAATCTCTTGAGTGGAATTAAGTGAAATTTGGAGAGACAGCTGGACTGACGCAGGAGGCACAAAAGGCGGTATCTTTTTCCATGAAATCCACCTACCTCTCACAGAGGCCTGTCTGCCTAATACCCTCCTGGGGTTATGAAAATGCATGTCCTATTCATGGGGCCTATTTACACACAATGGTACATAAACACACATGTGTCCAAATGGCTGTATTATTAGCCTACACATACACATTCTACACATCCAACCCACACGTGTGTATACACGTGTACACATATTAACTTCAGCACAAACACACCCTTGCTGCCTGGCAAAAAAAAAGAGACACAGCTCTCTGCTCATGCAGCAGCTTATCTTCACAACCTCTCATTGCAGTGCAGAAAAGAGAGAAAGAAAAGAAGAGGTGAGAGAAGGAAGAATCGATAAAAGGCCATTACGCTTCTGTGCAGCCAGGGTACAATGGTGGAGTGTGTGGGGGCTGATATGGTGGTGGATGAATGATGTGTAAGGTGGCCGACAACCTACAGAAGAACCATTTAGAGAATAGTCACTATATGTGAGTGTCTGCAAGCTCAAGGACAGATGCTGGTTTTGGGAAATCAAAGGTACAAAACTCTGAGCAATGTTTCCTGGTGATCTGGCGACTGGGTGGCTGTGGAGGGTGTTTGAAATCTTTTTGGATTTGTCTCCCACTTTGCATGAGGGCATTTTGATCCTGAAAACTACAATTCTGTTCTGTTTACCTGTGTCATGATTTTGTGACACTGCCACATTAGATAATTGTTATTTTTATTCTTAGAATGTAAATACATTGGTGGTTTTTTAATGCATATGACAATAGATACCTTAAATGCTTGAACCTTGTTTATCACATGGTTATCACATCTAGGCAAACAACAATTCACAGGATTTTAGCTTAAGTCAAAAATAAAATCATTTGCTTGTCATGTACTGTTCAGAAAGGTAGTTTCCCTGATGTATCAGAGTAGTTGTTAAACCAGTGGTGTGTTAAGCTATATCCTACTACGTGTATTTTAGCAGTGCAAAATATCTTTTTTCTGGTCCCATTTGTGTCTGTTAGTCTGTTACTACTTGTTTACTAGTATTTATGATATACAAGGTCCAGTGGCAGTCTCAACTAGTAATGTTCATAATAAGTTATTTCTTTGTGCCCTTTTTGTGACACCAGAAAGTTATGCATACTTTTCTGTCAGCCACAGGAATCAGATTTCCCCATGTGGGTCCATGTAGCATTAATGCTGCTGATGACAGCCGCCAAAACTGTCCCATTGATGAGTTCCCAGTCAGCAAAGCCAATGTGCACACAAACGGGACCGGAACCAAATGAACTGAGCTACAGGTGTGAAAGCACCCTAAAGGTTGATAATTTACATGGACATGGCGAGAAT